AATTTTTTGTAAAGTGTTGCCTAATCCTGCTGTTATGTTATATATTTACTGCCTTTCATTCACTGGGAATTGTTTTCTTGCACATTTAGTAATTTTGAACTAAATGAAGCTTATCTGTGAAATTTCTGGGCAAACTAGGTTAAGAATTGTGTCTTGTAAGGGGCTGGGGTTGGAGCTCAGATGAAAAGCGCTCGCCTAGCATGCGTGAGGCACTGAGTTTGATCCCCAGCACCACAAAAAAATTAAATGAAGGTATTGTGTCCACCTACAACTAAAGAATAAATGTTTTAAAAAAAAATACCATAGGTTATTAAAAAAAAAAAAAGAATTATATCTTATAAAAAGGTCTTACTTTTGCTTCTGTAGGTATCCTAGAGTACTTACCAACTGAGGCAATTTTATGTTAATTTCTTTGCCTAAGTAAGAAATTATACCAAATGAACAGTTTAACTTGAATATCAAATCTGTATGAGAAAAAAATTCATGGTTACAATTTTCAAGGATGACATTTTCCTTCTTACCCATAATTCAGACTGAGATAAACGTGGTTGCCATCTCCCTAGATTGGGGGGGGCAGATACTTCCCAATTAATTGCTAAGAACTAATTAGGAGATTTAGTTACATGCTGGTTTGTGGGTCTTAGTTCTCTCTCTACTTTGTTGCACAACAGCAGCCTAATATTATGGAGTGCATGTATCTTCAAGAACCCCACAATAGCTGACAACTAATGTCATCTTCTATGTTTCTGATTTTAGCTTTAAGTTTTCACTTTCATGCTGGCCCCTACTCTCTCTTCAACTATGCTATGCATTCTAGATTGTGTTTCTAAATGTCTGTATAAGATACTACTGGACAGGAACTGAATATTTTCTTTGATGTACCTATCATAGAAATCATAGAAGTCTCTATGGAGTGGTTTTATAATCCAGTTAGTTAGTAAAATGGATTGAATTTACAAGTGAAAACAGATCACTAGATTGATGGTAGTATGCAGATTCATAAACCAAAAGATCTTTGTAA